TATTCTCACCCTGAAGTGGATATTAAAGACATATATCAGTTCTTAACCTGTCAGCACTGATTGCCTACTGTTTCTACGGAGGCATTCTCTCACTTCCAGTTTGCTCTAAAACCACTTAAATTAAAATTTAAAAGCATGTCAAGGGGAAAGCAATCTTTTTATACTCATCATGAAGGTAATTGAATAAAGCATTAAAGCGCTCAGCCATTTTTCTGTTCAAGTAATTGTTATTATCTTAAATTAAAAAAAAACTGAACAGGAAGATATACTATTTATCAAGCCGAATTCTTTGAGAGAACAATTGCTGTGCTATTAACTCAAGAGGACATACTAATCCCTTTCAGACCCTTTTTATACATGGATCACTTTTTGACAGTTTTACATTTATCTACATGTATCTCAATCACATTATTATTTCTGTATCAATACAAGTAATAATTAAAGGATGAGAAAAACCTTAAAATCCAACTGCTATTACTACTTTCTACTAAAACTGAAAGACCTTATTAAGCTCTTTTCTATTCATATGATGTCAATTTCAAACTAGCAAGAAATATTTGTGTGCCTTTTTACTGAGATGATGCCATTTGCTTAAATAGTAAGAATAACCTAAAAAGTTCCACATTCTGTCTTTCAATAATTGGCAAAGAATGTTCTATGATAGTTTATGGCTCCTATGGTCCCCTGCTTTCCTGAGTTGCTTTTTGCAAAAACCACATTTCTTATGTCAAACTTTAAATTATTATCTGATTTAAATTGTAATCACTTTTACAACAATCTATATTTTTATTGTAATTTTAATTCTAAGCTGCTTTAGGTGTTTCAGTACACAGAAAGTCCAGCTACATGTTTAATAAAATAGATAAATCAATGAAAGGAAATCTCCATAAGGATGTCTTTGCAAATAGAACAATTTTTAAATATAAAGCCTTCCCACTTTTAAAAGCTTGCCTTTTTGATTCCTCCAAACCGGCGAATATGGCTCATCCCTAGGCTGCAAACAGCCGAAGTCACACTACCATCTGGCAACTTCAAAGCAGCGTGGACAGGACTGGGTGAAGTTTGCCTCTCTTACATCCTAACTACTTAATTACCTGCATAAGCTGCTAAAGTACTTTCCCCTCTGTGGTGAGGGAAGGAGGATTTTAGCCCTCCCTCCAGAAACAGCAGCTATCAACCACTTGGGAGTTTAAAATGTTGGAAAAATACTGAGATCGTAATTGGAATCCTATTTCCTAAAATTGGTGGATTATAAGATTTGCAACTTTCTGCCCTCTGTATAAAAGTATATATTTCTTCCTTGATTTTTATTCTAATTACTATTGAAGATTTGGGGTTTTTTCCCCCTTAAAATAGAGTGAAAAAAAAAACCTAAAAAGATCCAACTAACTCTAAGACGTAACCTGCTATTCTCTAAGAGACTTGTTGACAGCTTTGAAAATAGACAAGATAAACAATAACCTTAAAACACCATCTGCAAAATTCAGCTCAGCTCCCCATTTGGTGGACTTTCTGACTGTCAGTTTTTTTTTTTTCCCTTGAGCTTAATATATTACAATGGAAGGAGAACAGGAAAGGATTTCTTCTACAGAGAAAGTATAGGAACAAATTCTTTGTATGTTAAAAGCGATGATCCAAACTCTACGTATGCAACTCTGGATATACAAACTCAAACTATGACTTCAATCAAAGAATTATCTATACAGAATTCTATAGAGAAAGTGAAACAACCAAATGTTATGACAAAAGACTTAGATACTCAACAAATACAGACAATAGAAAACACAAAAAAAGAAATTGATAATAGAGAGCAAGGAAAGGGTGTTTCTTATAAACCAGAAGGAATTTGAAGATAAACAAGAAAAACAGATGAAAGAGAAGATAAATACTTTGAGACAATTGCATCGAACTGGAAAAATAAAGAGACTATCGGCTAAATCAACTAGTCCTCTTAAGAAAACATCAACTGGACGTTCTTATCAACATCAAACAATAGCCACATCAATACAAGGAGATTTTTTTGATGATTTAAAGGCAAAAATGACCTGGCAGAGGAAAAAAGCTAGAATAAGATTGAAAAAGATTGAGGTTCTGATCTATATATGAGATCTAAAATAGAATATATCTAAATAGATAGACATTGTAACAATTTGAGATGAAGAAAATTTTGGTCATATAAAATCTAGAAATATGTTGAAATAAGAATATTATATTGTCATTAGATGGGTAAGATAGATGGTAGAAGTTATATATAAGGTGTGTATTTTAAATATTAGAATGTATGAGCAATTGGGATAAAGGAATTGTGTTTAATTAAAAATTTGGAAAAATTAAATGTAATCTGAATGTCTACAAATAATTAAGATTTGAATTTAAGATATTGTTATGAGTTGAGACAAAGGTTAAGTAAAACTTAAAAGTATAAGTATTTGTATATGGGTTTGTGGTATAAATGTTGGTGGCTTATTTTTAATTTTTTTTTCTTTTTCTGGAAAGGAAGGAAGTGAAAGGAAGAAAAGGAAAAAAAAAATATTAGCTCCAAATGTGAGATAGGAGACTTAGAAATTGGGATCATTTAAAACCTGAAAATGATAAAGATTAAACGTTAAACTTAAATATCAATGGCAAATTAAAGTTAAGAAAAACTTACTAGGTTATTGTCTAAATGGTGGAATGTCAAATTAATTAAGATATGTATAGACTGAAGATTATTGATGAATATTAGAAAGGTATTTTTTGTTTGATTAATAGAATAAGAACTGTATCGGTTTGAACATGACAGTAGATATCATGGGGGAAAGAGAGGGAATTAGTTTGTTGTAATAATTTGAGATTTGTACTGATGATATTCAAATGTAACGGAATTACTGTGCTCAGCCACCACGCTACTTTTCAAATATGTAAATGTAATATTGTAAAATTAATAAAAAACTTGAAACTGAAAAAAAAAAATAAAAGCTTGCCTTTTCTGAGCAAGGACCAAACTTTCAGTCCAGCTATCTTTGTAGAACCTTCTTCCCACCCTGCATTTGTTTACTTATTAAGAGAACTTATATGGTCATCTCACAGAATGATCAAGGAGCTCACAGCAACCAATAAAAACAATATAAAAACAGACTATACCCAGACTATACCCTTCCCACCAGGCATTAGATCACTAAACTGTTGACTCCCGGACTCAACTCCATTCTAGTCCAATGCTTGGGAAAAGAACAAGGCTAAAAGGGTAAAACTCCTCACCCCACCCACAAATTTCAGTGGAAGATGTTCTAAAGATGTTCTAAAGGGCTGAGTCAGCTATAGAGAATCTGAGATCCCACCAGATTAAATGTCTAAAAGAAGAGATCTGCAATATGCCCTATTTGACATAGTGGAACAGGCAGATACCCTCAGGGAAAGGTGGTCCCACAAATAGCCTAGTTTTGTGCATGTAGGATATTATAGCTGATAACAGAATAACAAAGTTGGAAGGGACTTTGGAGGTCTTCCAGTCCAATCTCCCTACTCAAGCAGGAGACCCTGTGCCATTTTAGACAAACAGATGTTCAATCTCTTCTTGAAAACTTCCAGTGATGGACCACCTACAACTTCTAAAGGCAAACCATTCAACTGATTTCTGTCAGGAAATTTCTCCTTATTTCTAGGTTGGTTGTCTCCTTGATTAGTTGCCATCCATTGCTTCTTGTCCTGCTTTCAGGTGCTTTGGAGAATTGATCCCTTTGTCTTTGTAGAAACCCCTCAAATATTGGAACAGTTCTATCGTGTCCCTCCAGTCCTTCTTTTGATTAGATTATACTCAATTCTTTGTACATTTTAGCCTCCAGCTCCCTAATCATTTTTGTTGCTCTTTTCTGCACTCTTTCCAGAATATAAACATTCTTTTTGTATTGTGGTGCCCAGAACTCGATGCAACACAGGCAAACTGTGAATCATCCAAAATGGTATGCCCATTATGGAAGTTGCATCTTCCAGTATTCAAGGGCAGCAACATCTGGAGCACATTCTGACAATCCAATCCAGAGATGATTAAAGCACGTGTGACATTGAGCATAGATTCCCAGGAAAGGATGCATTTGAAATACAAGATGAATTAGTGCAAACATCCCTCAGATTACAGCTGCCACCTGCTCTTCCAGCAGGAGCCACAAGTCCAGGAAGGATCACCCTCCACTAGTCCTTGCAAAGCAGACTCCGAAAGACTTCTCCTTGATAAAGTTGCAAAGATACATGGGGAATATAGGTCTGCTCAGATCAAAAGGTGAGCATCTCAGCTTCTTCCAGAATTTGTCACCTCCCCTTCTGAAGAGGGTCTGCTGATTGTCTTTCTTACTGTTAAGTGGTATCAGGGATTCCACTAATAACCTTAAATGGTCACATATTAAAATTATCAGGCAATGAGGGCAGAGCCCAGCAAGCCAGCATAGGGTCCAGAGGTTCGTCAATTAGAACCATTAATCAGTGGAACCAGTGCTTTTTTTGTTAAAAAAAAAAAGTGCCGGAATTCACACACGTCACACAACCCACCTTGCCTACCCTACAAGGTTCCATCCAAAAAAGGTGCCGGAAGTCCGTTCTGGGCGTTCTATGACAAAAAAAAGCTCTGAGTGGAACAACTTGCCTCCAGAAGTTGTGAATGCTTCACAACACTGTAGGTTTTTAAGAAGAGACTAAACAACCATTTGTCTAAAATGGTATAGGATTCCCTGCCTGAGCAGGCAGTTGGAATGGAAGATTTTTAAGGTCCCTTCCAACATTCTATTCTATTCCATTCCATTCGCAGGCGTCACCGCTAACGCCGCCGCGGCAGAAGTTCTTAAACTTCTGCTAGTTTTGTTTTCCTTTTGTGTCTCCTGCTCGCCGTATCTCAGGCAGACGCGGCTCTGCGCTCTCCCACGGTCGTGACTCTACCTCGCCCTTTCCCCCTTCCCGCTGGCTCCGAAGCGACAGGTGGCGCCGTCCGTAGTTCGCGCAGGAAGGCAGCCTGGTGGCGGGTATCTTCCGAAGAGGCTGGTCAAAGGACGGCGGGGCGGGGCTCGACTTGGACTCGCTGCTCGCCTCTGCCTGGCTGGCGGAGTGTTGCAGCGGGCTCGGGATGGGGTTGTGCTTTCCCTGCCTGGGGGGAGCCGCCGATCAGGTGGTGGAGACGCCGGACCCAGTAAGTGGGGCGAGATCGGGCTGCCGAAACTCGTTCCGTGGTGGCTGGGGGTTTCTCCTTCTCCCTTTTGGCTTTTCTGGGTAATCCCAGGTGTCGTTCAGCGTCCGGCTTCCGAAAAATTCCAGATTGATTTTTTTTTTTTAAACCCTCCTTCATGCAGGCATCTCTAAAATGCCGTTAAACCTTCGCCGAGATTTTTTTTTTTTTGCTTTTTCTTTACTAATTGTTAGATTACGTATTTTTTTTTAAAAAAAAAAACCAGCTTTGAAGTGCGAGCAGCCCGTTCTTTTTCAAGTTTCTTCAAAACCGAGCCCTGAGGAGTTTTCTTACTCCCAGGTTCCACCTTGCAATATTAAAAACCATTATGTGCTTTGTGGTCCAAATCAAACTGTTTAATTCGCGATCAATTGCCTCGGTTCTTTTCACAGGGAAGGGCGTGTCTGTTTTATTATTTACTTATCTTGCCTTTGTACACCAGAAGAGCCAGATCAGTGTGTACCCAAAGGTCCAAAATTGCAGTGCTAGTGATCTATGCTACATAAGCACACACACACACACACACACAAATCTGACTGCCATCTTTCAAAAACACCAAAGGGACAATAAAACGTTGGATGCATAAACCCTGCTGGAAAAAGTCTGCTTGATTACAAAACAATCGTTTTATTCCCAGGAATGCCAAATCATTGCTTGGTTGCACAAATAGCTTCAGATCTATTTAGAAATGAAGTGATCTGGATAGGAATATCACTCTTTATGAAATGTTTGGGGTGGCATGAGAATACTCTGGTGTGTGCAGCAAGCTTTGATGGAGAATTAATAAAACCTTAGCCACAAGCAAAAGCATGTCCTTCATTTTTTACAACTAGATTTTATTTCAAAGTCGGCTGGCATAGCATTGGAGGCTTACTTTCCAATGAAACTGTTAGGAGATGCCAAATAGTCATGTGAGTTCAAGAAGAGTTAATGCAACTGTGTGGTCCACTTCCAGCTTACTGAAGGATCCTGGCACAATAACTTCCTTATTTCAGAAAAGTAAAGTAACTCATTTTCCTTTAATGCACAAGGTCCAAAACTTTAAGGGTTGGGAGTCACACATGCTAGAGAACATGCTGTGGGCTGCCTTACAAAATAGCATGAAGGGCTAGCCTATTCAGAAAATAACTGCCATAGGACAAAACCTATTTAAAATCCTTTGTGGCATGGAGCCTGAATATTTGCAAGATTTTTCTTTCTCCAGTTACCCCACCTGAAAAATTCCAGCTGAGTTTGTATGCTTCAAATCACATCATTTTTTGCTGCCTCTGGAACAGCATTCCACAGTGGTAGGCCTGGAAAATATGTGAGCCACTATTCAGTTGTTTGTTGTTATTTGTTTGGCTCTCTCCGCACCTGCCCTGACATGGCCACTTCCATATTTTTTATATTATTGTTTTTAACCATTCAAAGCCACCCAGAGTTGTACATAAGTGATCAGCTATAGAAGTTGAAACTGTAAATAAATAAATATATTCACTAATATAAGCAATAATTTGCTAGAAGGCTATTTGTGACCCTCTTTTATCTGCGCTTTCTACAAGATGCTGTGCATTAACCCTCCTCTTGGTTGTGGCAACCAGGCACAGTTCCACAATATCACTTGTTATAATATCATTTTCTACTTACCATTTGAATTTTCTAAGAAAGCTTATGGGAGCTATTTGGGGACCAGAGGCCTTCTGGGAACATCTCAAGGGGTCAAAAAAATTTTTTACCCATGATAGAGTGAATGTTTCTTCAACTAAATACACTCTTATAATCTCCTTCCACATTATTGTTCTAAATGTACAATGCACAAAAGTTAGCAAGGAAAGTCACTGAAATTCAACCCTATATCCTATTATCAAGAATGACCATATTAAGACTGTTTTGTAGCTGATGAACTATTCTTGCAGGATCCATATTATTAGCCACCCAACGGTAAGATGAGCATCATGTAAATTTAATAAATAAAATAAATAAGCACTATCAGAAAATCTGCCTTTTCTATGCAAATGTAATTCTCAGTGGTACATATTTAAATTGAAGATGAGAAAGCTGATTTGACTTCTAACTATTGGCTGGAATTTTGTTCAGCCTTAAACAGAAGTAACAAACCCAAGAAAAAATAGCTAACAAAAAGCTTTTTCATTTCTTCAGCTGGAAGCACCATTTAGTCTTTCATATGTACAGTTCAGTGACCTGTGAAATGTTTTATGTGGATGAGAGAACCCACAGCGGTGGAAGTACATGGCTCCTTATGGTGACTAAGGATTTCTCTCTGGCAGTTCTCTTTGACAACATTAAATAATATGAGCAGAAGTGGCATTTAAAAAAAAATCAATGCTCATTTCTAGGATTTTGAAAGGTTCTATTATATTTGGAAAAACCCTTCTTTTATCTTTGCATAGGTGATGTGAAATACCTTTGTAACTATTTTTATACGTTTTCTTCAGGAAATTAGAAGGCAGCAACTTGCAGAAGCAGCAGAAAAAAGACAAATGGAGGTAACTGGATATTTGGAACAGCAATATATTAAAATAAAACCTTATTGTATAATGCAGGGTTCCCCAACCCCCGGTCTGTGGACTGGCACCGGGCTGCGGCATACCAGAAACTGGGCCATGCAAACAAGCAAAGCCCCATCCAAGGGTTGCAGGCAGTACATGAAACCACGCAGCCTCTAGTCTACAGAAAAATCTCTCTCCACATAACCAGTTCCTGGTGCTCAAAAAGTTAGGGACCTCTGGTATAGTGAATGTGGACAATAGAAGCATCTTTCCTGGGAACAGCATCGTTTAAGAATGTGCAAACTGGCCATTATTATACCATTGCAGTGGGTATAATTGCAACTAACTTTCAAAAAAATAAGTACCCAGTGCTTATTAATGAGAAGTGTAGTAAGATCATATATTTATGTAGTAAGAAGCAATGTTTGCAATAGTGTTAGGGGAGCAGTTCACAGTAATTTGTAGATGAAGGCCTGTAGATTAACAGGCTCTTAGGTCTTAAACTATCCAAATATTATGATGTCCTTTAAGAAGCACAAGAAGAGGTAACAGAAGTAGCTCAAATTTATTATTCCAGTGAGCATGGAGAGGAATGACGCTTGGGAATATCAAGATTATCACTGACTTAAATAAAGAAAAATACCAACGTTCAGGATTCCTGACAGATTGGTGTTCTTTCTAAGGTACTGCTCAAAGTTTGCCCTAATATTTGAATGTTGACCAAAAAGGTAATACTTATATAAATGACTCTTCGCTTGAACCAATCCATTTCTTTGTGGTGGGATGTCTCCCATTTGGTGTCCTCACCACTGCTATACATTTTTCTCGCACAAATCCCTCACTGTCACTACCATCTTCTTTGCAGCAAAGGAGAGAACCTGTAAAATAATACCAAAATTAAGTCTTTGGAAATCACACATTTAGTTTTGGAATAAGATCAGCAAAAGCAACAGGGGAAAAAATAAATGCAAGTTAAGACAGCCTTTTTAAGTATTCCCTGACACATTCTGTAAAAAAAAAAATCTTAATTCCTTCTGTGAACTTTAGGGCAGTTTCTTCCATGAAACGATGGCTGAGTCTGTAGTTAGCTTAAAAAATGAATGGGAATGGGGATTATCCCCCAAAGCAAGGGAAAAACTAGCTAGTCTTTTGCAGACATTATAGATGTGGGTAGGGCAAAGAAATATAGATATCTGCCCAGTCCTTTTCATGATTACAAGTCCCAGACCCCTTCTTTTTAAATAAGAAAAATGTTTGTTCCTGTTTCATTGCCTTCTGTTCTATGCTAGGCTTCAGTAGGTATGTTCCATTCTAAAGAAAAGAAATAACTGAAATAACAGCTAGCTGGGCAATGCTATTTTTTTCTTTTTTGACATGGAAGTGCAGTGGGTGTGGTTAAGTTTTTTCCATTCTTCATTGGAATGAGAAGTTCTTTGAGCAGGTGTGAAATTCCAGTCAATTGTTTCTTTTTAACCTCAGTATTAGAGAAAATGTGAGCAGGAATAGAGCATCCGTAAGATAATTGTGACTGATGATAAGCAGCAATAATTCTACTTATCAAAGGAAGAACGTGTATAGCATATTTTCTCACCCATATTTTATAAGAATCACCTTATCAGTGAAATGGATGACATATAAATGTAATAGATAAAAGTAATAAAATAGCCACCTATGGGTGAAGAAAAAACCCTACTGAGAATTTCTTCTCAAAGAGGCTTCAAAATATGCTTCCTGGCCCTTCTCATTTCTGGGGGGGAAAAATAACGAATAAAACTTGTGCAAAAGGCAGAGGCCTTTTTTTTTCTTACAGGATTTTTTTGGGTTGAAGCCCATGCTTTTACAGTCAAATGTTATCACTCTTCTAAGTCTGGTTGTGTAAACTTAATACAGATTTATTGGAGTTTCATATGGAATACAGATTAGAGAATTAAATTTATTTTGCTGTGATTGTAGAAACGTGGCGTGTAATGTAATGCCCCTGTTGCTTCTTTCCCAAAGGCTGCATCTCGTGGTGTTAAAAATCTCTCTTCTGTGGAACAAAAAAAACGAAAACAAGAAGAAATGGAGAAACGTCTTGAATCTGGAACCCAGGGACCAGAAGGAGGCAATCTAAGGGTAAGAAGTGAAGAATCAAATTTGGATGAATAAGATCAAAGGCCAGACTCTTCCAGCTATTGTTTCTTATATTGCCAGTCTAATAGACAGGGTGTTAAGGCTCTTTCTTCTTATTTTTTTTCCCCTCAGTATCTCATAAAACGTGTCAATGTACCTGGCTTGATATCAATCACTTTTTTAAGTGTCTCTTCATGTATTGAATCTTTAGGATAAATAACTTTAGCATTTTGGCCAGACGATTGAAATTGCTTGGACAGATCCCTTAAGCCAGGGGTCCCCAACCCCCGGTCTGTGGACCGGTACCGGGCCATGGCATGCCAGCAACCGGTCTGCACAAACAAGTAAAGCCCCATCCACAGGATGCAGGCAGCACACAAAACGACGCCCCCTCCGGTCTGCAGAAAAACCTCTCAGCGGAACCGGTCCCTGGTGCCTTAAGCTCTATTCACACGTCCGGTACCATGTTCATAGCATATGATGGCCTGATCAATTATCTTGTCAAGATCATTGCTTTCTTCTTGTGTATAAATTTGAGGTAGAGTCTCGAGCTAGAGATGTCTGGAAGTTGAGTCATAGCAACTGGACTTCTTTTCTTTTTTTGGTTTGAACCTTTTTGCTGCTTATCCAAGTAGCTTCTTCAAACTAACAGACATTTCACTTCCAGACAATTCTAACAGGATGACCAAGAATTTTTATCAACACTAAGTCTGAAATTGCTGGGACAGTTCTGGAGTGCTCCCATCTTTTTTGGATAGGAATTTCATTTAAAGCTGAAATAGCTAGGCTAATGTCAGTATATAAGTGTGATGGATTCACACAGACTTTATTTTAAATGTGATCATTGTAATTGCTGCATAAATCTTTACTTCACTTGCACAACAACTTATCTTTCTTTCTCTACTATATACATTTAATTCCTTTACATATACTCGTGGTCTGGAGTTGTTATTTGGAATACAATAAAACTCAAAATGCATTAGAAAACAAGCATTATTGCTTCTTCTTTTTTTTCAAAATACTATATTTAAGGAAGATTTTTCATAATCTAAAGGTAGCCTGGGAAGGTGAGACGAGGGTTGGAATAAAACAAAGTTATGCTCACAGATAAGAAATTGAATAATGTCTTTACACATAAAAAGTAGCTAATGTTTATTTCTGTGTATTTGCTTTTAGTGGCAGGTTGGATAAAATACTGAGCAGCTTCAGAATGAAGAAGGATGAAGCTTCGCCTTGCCAATAACTTGCCAGTTGCTACAGATGAATCAAACTTGTTAATTGTCTAGCTTTCACTGTTTGCCTCTGAAGATGCAGCAGTATTTTGCCATTGCAGCAGGGTAGCTGACATACAGGCACTAAGGATGAAACAAAACTTCACAATATCCAGCAAAGATGCCCTAAACCAATCGCTTCCTGTTTATGTTGCCCTGTTGTGTAATGCTGCATGTCTAAATGTACTGTAGGGATGAATTATGGGAGTTATTTATGTAAACAGATGAAATTTTCATGCCTTTGTGATCATGGAGAACAATTCTGTTTTCCAAAGTACCCCTTGTTAAACTTGGTGCCATCTTACCCCCTGTTATACTTGTTCCAATGATCTTTAAATATATATATTTGACAAACTGATTTGTTTCAGTTGAAGCTACAACTGAAAAAATGACTTACGCCATTTTCCCCACTTAACGACCGCTGCAGCATCCCCATGTTATACTTGTATGATTCAGTTCAATCCAGTGCACAATTCTTGAATCCCTTTCAGTGGATTAAATGCCTGAAACCAACAGGCTTGTTTTAAAAGTAAGAACTTCAGAATCAAAGCTTTAGTGCCTTCTGCTGGTTACACATTTAACTGCTGCATTGCCATGAGGTAAAAAAAATCTCTATCCTTGTGTCTTAGTTTTACACGTGTTATGCCTATGTGCAGGGTTTACAAAAATACAGGCCAAAATACTAGACTCTTATTTTTTAAAATAAGAAGTGAAAAGAATACCTACAGGTGTTCTCCTTTACCACTTGTGTGTGAAAAACTCATGAAAGGACAGCTATATGATCCTACTTCTTTGTGATGAAATTACTTCATAAAAATTACTTTTTTAATTCTTAAAAACTGGTTGGAGGATATTATTCTGCATCTACATCCAGTGTAAAAATATGTTTATATAGTCATTCGTATTAACATACTGGAATAAATATAAACATATTATGTGATTATTCTCCCATAAGACCCTTTGCAGTTTATCTGGAAGTGATGTGGAAAGAAACAGTAAATTTGTTGAACTTCTAAACTAATATAGGAAATATTCATACATCTTGAATTTTAAGCAAGGAGTAGTATCGACTTTTATGAGAGAAATGAAGGTGCAGTTTATTATCTTGCTTTGTATCAGAAATAAAGATAATTGCTTCTTACTTATTCCCAATATTATAGGTACTGATTTTTTGAAAACAAAAGTGCTTCAGAAATATATTTAAAAGTAATAACAAGTGTTGTACATATGGGTACTGTATATGTCAGAGAGAATAAAATGTGCAAATGAATTATTTTTTTTCTGATTCCTCTTTCCATCCTAGACAAATATAAAAAAATAATGACTCTTTGACAAAAATTTGGCTGATAATAAATTTCCCACTTAAAATGTGATATAAATCAATGTAGCTAAAACGGATTGCTTTACCAAATTCTGTTACGTTAACCTTTTCAGTAAAGTATGTTGTTTTCTAATCTATTACAATTACTTATTTAAAAAAAATCTTGAAATCTTCATATTTCACAGTTTATACTTTCCTCTTTCTCTTTTGTGCACATAAATCCACTATTAAGTGTTTAAATAATTTTAATGGGAATTCAGGAATTCATACTTTCATTGCAATAAAAATAGCTGAAATTTAAGATATTAAATTATTGCAGTGCTTTGAGTGTCATTAATGTATCTGTTGCATCTCTTTAAAGCAGCCACACCATTTCCCTGGATCATGAGGCAGCTGCAGAGGATAGCTAGGTATTGATGTGGCAGGTTTAAAGATTTGCAAGCAGATGTATGTTAATACTCTTGTGCTCAAATGCATCTTTTCCAATTTATTTCTGAAGTTCTTTAGAGTCCCATGAAATAATAGTGCCATTTTAATTTTTTTACTTTGTTTCCAGTTACTGAGTTATGATAAATTTGTTCATTTATTAACAGTAGCATTTTTCCCTTAGTTGAGCTAATAAATTATTTGTGACCACGTGGATCTTTATGCGTTATAGTGTTATTGCATTAAATAAAGTATAATCAATTAAAATCTGATGATAAATGGGCATTTATACCATTCTCTTTTACTGCTTTTGTTAATTTAATACCACTGTACCAATAACAATTTTGTTTGAACCATCTAGATTTTTTTTATTATGCAGAAAATCCCTCTGGAAAAATGATGCAAAACCATGATTAAAGTCCCATTTTGAGATTAGAATTGTTCATGAATCCATAATTTTATTCTATGTGAGAACTTTTAGGAAATGGATTTATGAAGATTGTAAAGGTTGAGAAGCACTATTCTAGATAATTTCTCATTTGCTGGCTAGAGGATGGACATTATCAATGGCTCATTGTCCTTCACTGAACAGAACAGCGGTCAATGCAAAACAACTGTTTTTCAATTACATATAAAACTGACTTAAACCCTGAAAGAGGGTGGAAAGAGAAGAGAAACAATAAAGGCCTTTCTATAAGCTGCCTAGGAGAATGTGTAGATCAGGGGTGTCAGACTGCCGGCCTGCGGGCCAGTTTCATCATACCGAAGCCGCGCCCACCCCATTGCTGGCAATGCAAAAAGAGTCACAATACGTCGCAACACATGACGTGGCGAGTTTGATACCCATGGTGTAGATGCTCCCTTTCCAACCTCTCTTTGCCACAACCTTTGCCATGACCATAAACCAAGATCTCAGGCAAGCAAATGGAAGCAGTTTGAGCTGCCTATTGATTTTACTTGGAATTCTCTTATGTACAATTGTTATTTTTCCTTGTCTCCTTTCCTGCTGTCATTTTTATATCTAGAAATTTGGTTTTACTAGAACTAGTAGGGGAATTCTCATTTACAACCTTTCCACATTGACCACATTGTGACAGGACTGTGTCTTGACTTGGGTTAAGGTCTGGTGTGGGTGGGAAGATCCAAAAACCAACTTATACTAAAATAAAAATTTAAAGATCTATTTAAATAAAACTGAGGTAAAACGTACTTGGTCTGATTAAAACCTCTCCAACCTCCTAAAGAGGGGTTTGTACACAGCATTTAAGCAAAAGGTAATAATAATAAAGTTGGAAGGGACCTTGGAGGTCATCTAGTCCAACCCCAGCTCAGGCAGGAAACCCTATACCATTTCAGAAAAATGGCTGTCCAATCTCTTCTTAAAAACTTCCAGTGTTGGAGCATTCACAGCATGCTATCTATCCCTGCCATTTTTTCCTAGTAGATTGTCAATGTATTAAAGACCAAATGACCACTTGTCTGAGAAACAGTAATTTTTATTTATTTTTCAAATGTACATAGCTCATCTCACAAACTAGTGACTCTAAATTGGTTCTAACGCTTACTCCCCTGAAAACTCGAATGCTTAATAAACAGCACCCCTTGATAGACATTCCTAGTATATTAAATAATATTCTATTGGTCTAGTGCTGGACCAAATATGTAATTTAATTATTGTTTGTAAGTAAATTGTTTTATGCAGTTACTCTAAAATATGGATGAGCAATTTGAAGGTGATATGCTGCAAGCACTGTCCAGCTTTTAATTTACAATCTTTGAAGCACCCTGATGTAATATTAGTGAAAGGACTAATTTTGGTTGCATAATTTTTTTTGTAAAAAAAAAAGTGATGTAAGGTGTACATGAGATAAAATCTCAATTTCTAACCTTAAGATCAATGATGAGATCATCATATTGTCAGGTCTCCCTTGGTTCTTTTCCCTAGGTGGAAAAATTGAATTGCAGCCTCCGTCCTATAAATAATTCTCTAGTTCTAAAATGTGATAACGCATCTGGCTTTACTTATACCAGGGGTGTCAAACTGCCGGCCCACAGGCCGGATGCATCACGCCAAAACTGCTCCCACCCCATTGCCGGCAATGGGAAAAAAGTCACAACATGTCACATGACATCACGAGTTTGATACCCATGACTTATACAGTACATTCAAATGTGATTCTCTGCATTTGGTTCCCCGAGCATTGCCTGTTGTTGAGTTCTTCTGAGTAGCTCCAGCACAGGTATCCTACTTAACCATTTCTTGGGGAGCACATTCCCATGTTGTCGTCCAATCTTCTCTTGAAAACCTCCAGCAATGGTGCACACACAACTTCAGGAGGCAAGCTGTTGCATTGATTAATTGTTCTTACTGTCAGGAAATTCCACTTTATTTCTAGGTTGCATTTCCCTCTGACAAGCTTCCACCTATTGCACCAATGTAACAATGGTGTTTTCCGTGATGTGCCAACATTCCACATGGACATGGAATCACAAAGTACCTTAAGATAAACATACTTGAGATTAGCAATCTGATTGGCTCCAAATGATCTGCCAGGGCACCTGTGGGGCCCTCCTCTTTTGTTGCTGACAAAACAATGTTGCAAATGAATATGAGTGTAATTAACTTTTTTATTTTTGCACTTATATATAAAGTCTCCAAAAGTGATGGCCCTATCCATGAGAATAGCCATGATACAGCACATTTTTGTCACCACTGCTCCAATTCAGTTACGACCTTGAGAAATGGATAACTCAGCATTTAGTTGAGGGTTGCATTTAGTTTTTTGGAAAGTTGTTTTTGTCTGTCCTAGACCTTGGGGTGGATATTGCAAATGAATAAATGTTGCAAATGAATAAATAAAAAAGAAGAGGGTGTCAAACTATTCTCCAAAGCACCTGAAGGTAGGACAAGAAGCAACGGATGGAAATTAACCAAAGAGAGAAGCAACCTAGAACTAAGGAGAAACTTCCTGACAGTTAGAACAATTAATCAGTGGAACAACCTGCCTCCAGAAGCTGTGAATGCTCCAACACTGGAAGTTTTTAAGAAGAGTCTGGACAGCCATTTGTCTGAAATGGTATAGGGTTTCCTGCCTGAACACGGGGTTGGACTAAATGACCTCCAAGGTACCTTCCAACTTTATTATTATTGTTGTTGTTGTTGTTGTTGTTGTTTTGTTATTGTTGTTGTTATTATTATTATTAGAAAAAATGAGTTCCTAGAAGTGTTTTTAAAGTATTTTTATTTCTAATACACCATGTGATTTCAGTTTATCACATCATTTATACAGTCATCATTCAATTAATTATTGAACAATGATTTTTTTTTTTCCTAGCAAGGCACAAAGTTATCAAGTATAGTCAAGGAAAATTAGCAAAACATATAACCCAAACCCCAGCATTTGTATATATCACAGAGATATATATGGCAATCCCCTTCCTGTTATTTATCTACAGAGAATAGCACATATTATTTTCATTTTTTTCCTGTTATGTCCAAATATAATGGAATTCAGAAGGAGAGAGTATCCCACTGGGTCAACAGTCTGTATGTATCTGAGGTTTAATATGAAAAACAATCCTGAATGAAATTGGAAACTTAAAACCATCCCCAATATTTTTTCACAGAAGTATGTAATTTCAAAACATCTGCTGGTTCTAAAAGCTCAATAATACAAAGATGCTCTTATCTATTTCTTGCAACTATTAACGTAGTTAAAATATTAACTTTGATCTACCTACTGCATGAATCCTGGCTTTCTGGGAATCTTTGTTGTGTTTTTACCATGTCATTAGTGTTGGGTTTGGAATGGAGGGAAAGTTGTTATTTCAGTGAACCAGCTCCCAAATGGGGCTTGTCATTCTGCTTTAGAGCCTCCAGCAATATTGACATTATTTGAGACATGCCAGAGGTAGACATAATTGGCAAACTCACAGTATATATCAGTATAAGCTATTTTCTGATATGAATAAACAAAACAAGCATTAGCCTCTCATTCACAGAGGATTTCTATCATTTCTTTTTAATTTCATTTTGTAGATGGGCTATCATATTGATCCAGCAGTTACTTATGGATATGGGTCTGCCTGATGCAAATATATATTTTCCCAAACGATGTCCCATTTGTTTAATATGAATATGTGTATAGATCAGCTTCCTTTAATATACGAGTCAGCCTGGAATAAACTCATCAATTTGATACATACAGCGAATCTGTAGTGACCTGTCTTGATGTGTTGAGGAAATGAAATTGGCTGTTCACATATTTAAATGTTAACCCGTGAATAATGTTTTACAAACAACAATGGAGTTGTACGTGATATAATTCACAAACAAGGAACTGTTTTTCTTTGAACAAAATAGGTGAAGCCATTCAAATATATTTCTCTGGCATTGTCTATTATGCTATTAGCTCTCCAGGCCTAAGACAGATGTTTTTCCTATTACATTATCCTTCCCCAGCCCCGCTTTTTTCCTACTAAGCTGAATATAACTATTTGCTGTGGCAAATTATTGGGAATCATACCTACTGCTTTTTCAATCAAATTTCTACCATTTCGGTTTTTTTAATATGAGCCATATTGTTTTAATCAACCTACGAGTACATTCATAGAGTAATAATTAGGCTAAAAATATGTCTGTCTTAAAAAAATCTGGTTTTCATAATTAACCTACCAAGAGTAACTTGCTAAGAAAAGGCACAGTACTAGAAATAAATAGTTCTACCGCTCAACAATCCATGAAATGGGTTGTCATTTCCAGTCTGCATGTTAAGTCCAGAAGTCCTTTCAAAGCCTCAACTAATTTGACTACACATGAAGAATAGTGTGGGTCTACATATACCAAGTCCCGCAAAGAAATGAGAAGGCAATTTCACTTAATTTCCTTTTTGGTTTTGTAATGAGCAGAAACCACCAGGTAACTGTCTGGACTCAGGTCCTTGATAGTTGGAGATTTGTTCTGGATGGGGGAGGTTTTGCCATCCACCCGGGATATTTGCAGCATTCGGCAGGGGTCATGCTTCAGCAAGTATCCTGCAAACGTCTCCCATCCTCCTCCTACACGAACCATTACATGTTTGTTGTGCAGCATCTAAATTAGCAAAAGGAATGGAAAAAAAAGAAGGAAACATAAAACAGCCGAAGAGCAGCATTCACATTTATCAACTGTTGAGAAGTGAAAGGGCCCAATATTGTACATAATCCTGTTAAACTTATTGTTAGTATCCAATTCTGGGCTAATATGTGGCAGGAAAGTAATAATAATAATAATAATAATAATAATAATAATAATAATAATAATAATAATAATAAAATAATAATAATAATAATAATAATAGTAATAGTTGGAAGGGACCTTGGAGGTCATCTATTCCAAAATATAGATTTTGTCCTTGAGATATTGCCCGCCCCCCAAACCTAGATTCATGTGCTCTTTCTTGTTATTAGGTTCTAGGGAAATAACTAACTTATGAACCTCCTTCTAAGCTATGTCAAAAAGAGATGGGGGGAGAGAAAACAGTGCCTGGTTAGATTCTCATAGCAGTTTGTTCCCTAATATTCTTCACAATGGAAAGAAAGGAATGGATTGTTGATGTCAAAGGTATCTGTGGAAGTACCTGTAAAAAAAAAATAGCCGACTGATGAGCCAAGGGTGTAATGGGGAGGTCATGTCCTCTAATAGCTTGGAAAACCAGATCAACTTTATTCGGAACCCTCTGCATTTGACTTAGAAAGCAATCAGCAAACAGAGAATCAGTTGCAATAGAATGATAATGAGGGACTTGTGTTTCAGCACTCTGAGTTAGATGCGGTTTCTGGAGTATCGTCAGGGACCATTTCATGAACAGAATATTGGAATAGCTTAGCCCAGGAGTGTCAAACTCACAACGTCACGTGACATGTTGTGACGTATCGCAACTTTTTCCCCATTGCCAGAGCTGGGGTGGATGCTGTTTCGGCATGATGCATTCGGCCCATGGGCCGACAGTTTGACACCCCTGGCTTAGCCTATAGGAATCAATGAAGCCAAATCTTTCTTTTTAGATATGCATACACCTATTTGATCAGCCCAAAAGATACACTCAGAAGAACATTTAGATGACCAAGTCACTAATGTGGTAACAGCATCTTAACTCTGTTATTGTTGTTAATATTCAGATCTTAATTTTACAACTTGCTAAGATGCTGCATTGCAGCTTCAAGCGTTAATGATAGCTAAAACAGAGAGCCATATTCAATATCCTATCCTGTTTACTTTCTCTATAAGAAAGTTGAATATCTATTCTGAACAGTCTCCAGCACAGACAGATAAGAACAATGGGTATCTAAGCACAATGGATATCCCTTCTGACAATCTTGGGCTTGGGCACCATTAAAGTAGAATATTTTAAAAACAATTGGTAGGTTCTCAGACTACAGTATTATGAGAATCACTGAATAAAAATAAATCAAAAATTATTCAAAACTCCTTATAGCATAAGGACTAAACAGGGTAGTTCAATAACAGAAAATATAAGTGATTTTTTAGGAGTAGGAAAGTAAACTAACCAAACCCTTGTTTTATATTAATTTGACACCTGAAAGCAAAATAGCTACCTCAGAATAGAAACCTGCTCCATAATAACATAGCATAATAATAATAACAACAACAACAACAACAACAACAATAATAAAGTTGGAAGGGACCTTGGAGGTCATCTAGTCCAACCCCCTGCTCAGGCAGGAAACCCTATACCATTTTGGACAAATGGCTGTCAGTTTCTTTTTAAAAACTTCCAGTGTTGGCACAATATAAATGAATTAAAATGGACTATCACACTTATAGTTCCACAGTAGAAAGGGCAGCATTGTACTTCTGAGTAAATACTGCAAAAGTAGTAGAAAATCTGTTCAGTGAGGGCAGCCTATTCCTGATGGCTTGAAGATAAAAATGACTTAGCTTTTTTCATGAATTATGACAACAGTTTGTTTGGAAAGTTAAAGATGTATATATGCAATTAATTATCACTGTCCGTCAATCACCCAAATCTGTTGATGCCAAAAAAAGCAAATTAAGCCAATATCAGAAAATAAAATTGACAAGCCAAAATATATTACAGAAAAAAGTAAAATTTAAATATTGTATATATTAAATATAAATAAATAATAATAATTGCGGCACTAGTAAAATTGAATAGACTGCATGTTTAATAAATATTCTGGATAAAACACTGAATAAACCTCAGGATGAAGAAAAGTCAGACTGAAGACAAGCTCTTCAAACATCTCTGGACAAAGATGAATATTTTACAAAAATGCTCCAGACAGTTGCTCCTCTTGAACAGACCTCAAGACAGCGATCTCTAGCAGGTTTTGAACCATGGAAGACAAGGGAATAGTCATCTTGTTCATCTTGCAAGGGAATAGCTCATCTTGTGGAATACTAAGGAATACTAAGTTTGCACACTTCCTTTACTAATTACAGTAGGAAATTGCTTATTAACTACTTTTCAGCTATTAGGGATCCTTGAATCAACAATACAAAAATAAAAACACTGGATTAGCCTGCCTTCAATCCTTAATGAAAGAAAACTTTAATTACAAAAATGAATTAAACAGCAAAAGGATAATTAAGATTTTGATTTTGAAAAGTTCAAATGGGTAAATTATAAATAATTAATTATAAAGAATCCTTCCTCTGAGACATATATAAGAGATAACAATTTCAACAACTGCACACTAGAGGGAACTAAAGGTTTTAATTAAAGGAGAAGAATACATAAACCTGCTTAAGAACTACAGAATGATGAAAGGTATTATAACATTTTGGAAATGTTATATTGTAACAATTGGCAATACTGTAGGATATTTTTGAAAAATGGAATCAGAAGTTAATATCAACAATGTCAATACTAATTGTGGATGGATTGTGTCCAAACAACATTTCAGAAAAAATGGCAGAAGAGGAACAAATTTTATCTGACAAGACAGAAATGGCATCAAAAGTGGATCTACAAATAATAGGCTACAAGAATGACATGGGGGAAAATGCTTAATTGGACATACAAAATAAATTGGTTGATGCCTTAAAATTCAAAATGGAATTACAATTAATAAACCAACGGAGTGTCCTGGACCTAGATAATTCTTTTATATTGGATTTACGAAAGAGATTTGTTAAAGCTTGGATGAATCTTGGGAGAATGAATAAAAAAGAAATAAAGAAAAATTGAGCTTTATGACATTACATAAATGGACTAAACATATGATAATTAAAGTCAAAGGAAGGAATATAAAGTTGGTTTATTTGATACAGTAGTTAAATTGTTATTTCTGGTAATTCTTAATAGATTTTGTTGATATCAGGACTGAAATGACAATATTTATGGATTTGTTTATAGATAAGAGGTGGGATGAGATAGATAGAATGATTAGATCATTGCTTGCAAATTAAGAGCTGGTAAAAGTTATTAAAATGTTTATACTTGTTATGATGGAACTTGGAAGTCACTTCTTTATATATTTCTTTTCTTCATATATTCTTAATTTTCCTCTTTTTTTCTTTTCCTTTGCACTTTTTCCTTTACTATTTCTACTCTTTTCTTTCTTTTAGTTTGTATTATTTTTTTACAATTGCAATTATAATCTTTAATATTATTTTTAAAAACTTTGTAAATATTTTAGGAAAGGTGAAAGACTGGAAACATGTGTGAACCCAAATTTATTTAATCTTCTAATTACAATCAATAAGTTTATTTCTTCAAGAACTGTATGTATATTGATTTATTGTTGATATCATTCAATTAAATAAAACAATGGGGGGATTACAAACTTGAAGCAGCTAATTCAGTTAAAAACCATACAGTTAAAGACAACTACACAATTACAATGCAACTAAAGAGTTTTATAGGACACGTGCAATTCAGATATGCCTAACATTTGATTTATTGATTGGTATAATCCTCCAATCCTTAACTAGAGAAATAAAATAGTAATATGAGATGGATTAATTATAACAACAGGAACATAATATAAATTTCAAGCACAATAGTCTTGACCTTAAGGAAAATTCTCAAGCTGAAACAACTGCCATTATTCTCACACCAAATTAGGAAAATATGAAAAATTCATAAGCTCTGGAGGAGATTAATCAATGGAAACATTTAGAGGTCATCCTTCAACCTAGGGGGGAAATATCTGGAATTTTAAAATGGATACTTTGAAAGCATATTCCCTCAGTCATGATAGTCATTGTAATCAGTGGTTTTTTTTTGTGAAAAAAAAAAAGGTGCTGGAACTCACACACGTTATACAACCCGCCTTGCCTACTCTACAAGTTTCCATCCCAAAAAAGGTGCCGGAACTCTGTTCTGAGTGTTCTATGACAAAAAAAGCCCTAATTGTAATTATAAAAGCATTTCTTGGTAATGTTGACATTCTTGAATCCATTTGTGAAATGTCAGAACCTAATGTTTAAATTTGTAAGAAGCTTTATATGAGGCAAGCTGAAATGATTTTAGTTATGAGTGCTCCTTTCTTAATAGTTTTTTGGTTAAAAAAATAGAATGTTTGTGTTGCATTAGGAAATCCCCTGCTCCCTTTTAGTCACATGCAAACCCAAGGTCATAAAGCTAACTTGCATGTCATCAGAAGAAACATGTTAATGTAATATCATGGCTCCAAACAAAGAACCTTCAAATACACAATCATTAACAACAATGTAGAAGAGAGAAGGGGAAAAAAAGAGCCACTCTTTGATTATTTCCTATATAAGGCCACCAACCTGGACCTGTTAGGGAAATGTTTCTGAATTTCTGTTCTAAGTTTGTATTCTGAATTTCTCCAGCAAGGAAAAGACGTAGACTGTTTCCGAATGTGTAGATATCTTTCCGGACAAAGTCAACAATTGGAAAGAAAAAAGGTTAGCATTTTAACATAATTTGGGACACTTCTTGTGGAAGTGGAGTTCCCCCCAGGTCCCTTAACCGAAATAAGATGTTACTAGTCACTGTTGAGAAATTTGCCCCTTAATCTATTACACAACCAATGAATTCAATCAGAAAATCTTTAGACCAGCACTTGTGACACTGTCCATGGTCCTGAAAATGCTAA